TTCGCAACAGCTTGTCACTCGACCCAATTCTGAGCAAGATGAATTCACTCCATACCCCCACACTCCATTCTTTTAAGATCAATTTTAATAGTATGCTTCCATCTACGTCCAGGTCCTCCAATCTGTCTCTTCCCTCCAAGGTTTCCGACAAAATTCTGCAAAAAGTTTTCATCTCCCTCACCCGTGGTACAAGCCAGTCTATCTCGCCCTCTCTGATCTTGTGAGGACTATAAATTCTACAGTTATTCATAATTCAGTATTCTCCAGCCTCCTGTTACTTCCATCCTCAGAACCCTGATTTTAAACACGTGCATTCGCTTTCTTCACTTAATGTGGACAAAAATAACAATGTACAATCGGACGTTTTATTAATGTCGAAATAACAGTACATAATGTGAAATACAATATGAATGAAATTTCATAATTTATTTTAGAATACTGGACGCCTTACAGAACCGCCTGCCTTCTCATGACTGTCCCACAAAATAGCTTTATCTTTGACATTCGGAAAAAATTTCTTCCACATAAAACAATGATTCTTAAGTTTTAGTCGCCGATCACAGTGGCCGCGCGGTCTAAGGCATGAACTGTCTTCGCTCGCTCGAATGCCGGGATCGTGGGTTCGAATCCCACTCAAGGCATGGATGTCTGTGTACATTTGTTCTGTGTTCGTGCTGTCTTGTGTTTAGGTAGCGGCCTTGCAACGGGCTGTTCACTCGTCCAAGGAGTCCTACCGTCTGTGTAAAGAAGAATATGAAATTGAAGAAGAGGCCAGGGCTCAACAAAGGCTGTAGACCCATTGATGGAAGGATGAATGAAGGAAGCTTTAGTCAGGTTCTGTCATTCGGTATTTCAGAAAGATGCATAAGTGACATTCGATGGAGTGAAACGTAATTCTTTAAGAGCGTTACAGAAGGCGAATTCTATCATTAAGATCAGAGGACAGTAAAAAAAAAATCGAAGTTCTCTTTTTAGAATGTCGAGCATTGCTCGGGGGGCTTTTGGTTTCCCCTGATCTGCCTGTAGGTCTGCCTCATATAGGACCTTCCAATTTACATGAACAAACGACATTGACCCTGTAGCAACGTGACTTTCGTTGGCATGAAAATATATTGCCGCAACAGCGGTACAGCATCAGGTCCTGTCAGTTGCAACAAGTTCGCTATTGGGCCTGTGGCACGTATACGAGTACACGAGCAAGCTATGATGCAGGAAGGGTTCAGGTTTTCTGTTGGGAAAGTGATAAGAGGGACCGCGCGGTCCGAGGCATGAACTGTCTTCGCCCGCTCAAACACTGGGATCGTGAGTTCGAATCCAGCTTGAGGTATGGATCTCTGTATTGTGTGCGATTATTCTGTTGGTGTTGTTCTTTGTGTAGGCTGATCCCCGTTCAAGGAGTCCTACGGATTGTGTATAGGATCAAGAAACTGAAAAAGAGGCCAAGACCCAACAAAGGGCTGTAGAGGGTGTCCCAGGAGGAATGGACCAAACTTCGGGAGAGTGTTCCTTATGTTAAAGTATGCCGATATAACCCAAAACACCTATGTCCAAAGTTGAACGGTTACGGAGATAATGGCCAGAGAAGTGTCAAACTTTGACCGGCGTTGCACACTTGTTGATTACAAAATACATATTAAAACTGGCAGGAATATGTGGATTGTGTAATGTTAATAATGTACATAACATCAAACTAACTTGTGAGTGTCATGAAGCCATAAAATTGAAGTACAAAATACTCGCTCGCCATGTCATTATTGTCCTTAGGGTTTCCAAGCACTATACATGACACATGAATGGCAAGCGCTGACGTAACGTGCTGACTGCGCGTTCTGATAAAGCCAACTACATAAGCACGGCTAGGGTGTATCACCGCACTCAAGGACAAACACAGATAAGACCTCTCAGCTGATAGTTACAGTGCGTGGACCTGCCAGAAGACCACACTTTTCTTGGGCCATTATCTCCGTAACCGTTCAACTTTGGACATAGGTATTTTGGGTTATATCGGCATACTTTAACATAAGGAACACCCTCCCGAAGTTTGGTCCATTCCTCCTGGGACACCCTGTATATATAAGGGGCAGTCAAATGAAAATGGGACACCACGCATAACTCACACTGGAATTTGCTTACGGTAAGAACATCTGGTGGGGACTCGGGAAAGCAGTGACAACGTGCCCTTGCACACTAGTAGTTTCTTTATTGTGCTAGAAGTAAGTTTAGCGCTATGTGTGGTCGTCTAACATCAGTAATGGAGGCGGGTAAAGAAGAACAGCGAAGTGTAGTGCGCTTTTTGACTCCTGAAGGAGTAAGAGGACGAGGAATTCATCGTCGCATGTCTGTTGTTTACGGCGAACACAGCATGTCACGTTCGCGTGTGCTGGCGTGGCATAAGAGATTTCGAGAGGGACGTGTGTCACTGCAAGATGATGCTCGCCCAGAACAGGCTCATCGTGTCATCACTCCTGATGTTATTGCTGCGTTGGATGGTCATATCCGGGCAAACCGACGGATCGCTGTGTAATAAATTAGTCTTGATGGGGATAAGTCGCGGTTCCGTACACACCATTGTGACGAAACACCTGCTGTACCGCAAAATCTGTGCGCAGTGGGTTCCACATCAACTCACGGAGGAACAGAAGACTCAGAGAATGGCTGCATCACTGGGTCACTTGCAACGATACCATGAGGAAGAGTATGCTTTTCTGTCCCGTACTGCCACTGGGGACGGAACTTCGTGCCACCATTTTGAACCCGAGAGCAAACGGCAGAGCCAACTGTCGAAACACGTGAATTCTCCCCCAACGAAGATCCAAAGCTGTACACACAAGTTCCGGTAAAGGGATGATGACGTTCTTCTCCGACTGCAAGGGCCCTCTGCTTGTCGAATTTCTCTAGCATGGGACCACAGTCAGTGCACAGCGCTATGAAGACATTTTGCAGAAACTGAGATGTGCCATAAAGTCGAAACGCCCTGGAATGCTATCGAACGGCATTATCCTTCTTCATGATAATGCGCGCTGATATACGCTATAGAGATTTGGTTGGGAAGTGCTTCAACATCCCCCCTACAATCCAGATCTCTCCCCATGTGATTTTCACAATTTTGGAGACCTGAAGAAAGACATTCGTGGACATCGGTTTGCATTGGACGAAGACCTGTGTGCTGGGTAAATATGTGGTTCCGTCTTATCTCCCAGTGGGATAAATCTACGTGTATTGACCGTTTTGGAGATTACTTTTGGGGTAAAAAATGTTCTTTTAATATTGTCACGTGACAAATAACTTCACGCCGTTCTGGATCTAGCGAATTTATTGCACATTCGCTCTTACATTTACACAATTTACAGTTCCACCACTGCTGCCATCTGCAGTATCACAAATGCTTCTCCTGTAGTCATTTCCATTCACTCGATACAACTCACTCCGGCGAATGCTAGACTACAAGTTACTTCGGAACTGTCTTCGCTCGCTCGAACGCTGGGATAGTGGATTCGAACCCCACTCCAGGCATGGATGTCTGTATTGTGTGGGTTTATTATGTTGGTGTTGATCTATGTGTAGGCTGATACCACCATCCAAGGAGTCTTACTAATAGTGTATAGGATCGAGAAAGTGAAAAAGTGGCCAAGGCCCAACAAAGGGATGTAGAGCCATAAAGATAATAACTGCTCCGTGCTGACAGTCGTTCTTGAGAAGCTAAAATATCCTCTTTTCTTGAAAGACCGACATAAACAGAGAAGCGTATCTGGACACGCTAGAAAATTACACTTTCTCACAGCGAGGGACATGTTAGTATACACGCAATCCTCCAGCAATAGGGCGCACCCCCACATTACGAAGATGATGTGTGGCAATCGCTGGACATCCAGTTTCTGAATAAGGAGTAAGGGCCAGAGAAACAATGAGTTACTGGCCTCCCCGTCCAAACGATCTTAGTGAATCAGAAGCTTTTCTTTCGGAAGTTCAGTACAAGACAAAATGTAGATTAAGTCTTCAAACGCGATTTCGCTATTAAACCTGGAAGCTACAGCTATATTTACCCCAGATATGATGGAGCGCACGTGATAACAGCTGTATTACAGCTTGGATGAATTCCAAACTACAAACGGAGATCCTGTAGAAATAAAATACCCAAACTAAAAATGTACGTGTTACTAGTAACACAATATGTGTTCTTCTGTCTTATTAAAAATATTTAAATCGCACTCACGTTCTTTTACGGGAATCATGTCTTGAAGTTCCCTCGTTTTGTTGAAACGCAAGCGAACTGTGATGAACAGATGCCAACGAAGTTAGACCGGTGGATATCATGGAGTCCAAAACCTACATTACGAACTTCCCTCAACATTTTCTAGGACGAGACGACAAAATGCGCAAATGAGAAAAAAAAACCTGCCAGGACAGTCTTCTCGGACACGTAACTCCCAACATCCCGAATGCAATGATCACTGTAAAGTGATTAAGCACTACGCCACGAAAGCGCAGGTGAGAATGGAAGTATAGATCCACGTTTTCTTCACCTCGGCACTAGTTGATGATGGGTGATCAGCTTCAAGCCCCGACCGCTTTACCCCCGAAAAAGTGTCCCGGTATTTATTGCATAGGAGGCTAGGTGGGGCCCAGAGCCTCGGTCGTCCAGCCCGCAGCCAGCCGCTATACCGACAGCGCTATCCCGGATCACAATGCTCACTGCATGCTTACTATATGGACGCCTTGTTAAGAAAAGTTATGTCAGCAGAATATGCCATAAATAGCATGTCCTGATTATAACGAGCTCAACTCTGATCTTATTTACTTACATAGAACATCTTTTGTACGTTTTAGTAACATAGTACATTCTTCATGTCTAAAAACACGCGCGCACACTCTGACGTATCATCGTTGTATATTCAAGGTTACTGGCGGGAAAACCGTTCTCCCACTCACAGCATCAGTTAACACGGAGCTGCAGATAGTATTTCAAGATCAACGTGGCGCTCTGCACCTTCAGTCTCTAGTCAACTACCGGCGAGGGCAGTTGAGAGAGCACGGAAGGTCCCTATTTTCTCAATCGACCTAGGCCGGATTCTGTGGTCCTCTTCCCTAGTAGGCACGTCAAAACCCTATATCGAAACTGTGATCCATTTCTATAAAAGGGAAGTAACAACAACAGTGAAAAGCGTACAGTGATTAAAACATCAATTATTAAATGAAGAGTAGTTGAAAAATGCACAACACGTGGAACGATAGGAAAATGGGGGAAGAAAGACCTGCAAACCCCGCCAGTGGCAGTATCACTGGTATTCGGAACTCTGTAAGTAATTTAATTAAATTTAACGCTACACTTTTTATTAGTATATTCGTCGATTATGAGATTCAAAGACGTATTTTTTTTACTACTTTCCATCCTTAAAATTACATCTCAAAAATCTGCAGTCTGTGAACACAGATACCTCAAGCAGTTTACATACAAACGACTTCACTATTTAAGATTTGAGGCTTTCACGGCGGTGACTATGAAGAAAGCAGTCTTCTGGGATTTGGCACCGTGTATAAGTGGTGTTAACCGACGTTTCGGAGGAACGTATCGCCTCCATCTTCAGGGTAGAAGAAAAAGTATAAGAAATCTGCAAGCGACAAGACCGTGAGAACGGTAAACCGTCTTGTCGCTTGCAGATTTCTTATACTTTTTCTTCTACCCTGAAGATGGAGGCGATACGTTCCTCCGAAACGTCGGTTAACACCACTTATACACGGTGCCAAATCCCAGAAGACTGCTTTCTTCATCGACTTCACTATTTTTTGTAACCGAACTCAGAAAACTTGCGCTGGATTGAGAAGTTAAGGCCCAATGGCAAAGCAACTCGGTAAGTACCTAGTTCAAATATCGGCCAGGGTATGGGCAACCCTGAGCTGTTACGTGGTTTCTCCAGGTGAATGTCGAGATAAATTATATCCAGATACGCAACTGCTCTTGGCTTCCACATGCCACTCCAATTATGTAATATAATTATAATCATTTTTATATAAAGTAGATTCTAAAGGGCTCTGACGATGGTGTATAATACTCAGAATTCCTTGGTTTTTAGATTTTGTCCATCGTCCGGTATTCAGAAAATAGTAAATAACATTTCAGAAACTGGATCTGTTTCCATCCTCAGGTGAGGCGGGGGAGACACGTACACTGGTGGGTCCCTTAGAAAGAGCTAACCTCAACTGAGGTGAGTCACTGAGGTTAGCTCTAAGAGACCCAACAGAGGTGTCTTCCTCCCTCACCTGAGGACGGAAACAGATCCAGTTTCCTAAACGTTGTGTTTTCTGTTTCTAGAATACCCGACGATGGCCAAAAACCCCAGTAATTCTTAGCCTTATTTAAAGGTACATAATTTCTGTAGTGTGAACTATGAAAAAAGAATCATTCCAATGCGTACAAATTGTGAACGGCTGATTTCAGCCTGATGTATGCCTGCATTTTTAGTATTTAACTGGTTACAAAGACTGAAGGCGCAGTCTTATCACAACGAGTCCTTTTATGTCTGTGAAACAAGCTCTCACGTAAGTCAAATTCTGATTTTTAAGGAATCAAATATTCACCAAATAGCAATTCCTCGACATATACAAATTTTACCGTCAACGCAACAATTGTTTATTAACGTATACAGCACTCTATGTTTCGACCGTAACGGGCCATCCTCAGGCGCTGCAAGTCTCACACACTGCAATGCTAGCATTCCTATTTATATACATATGGTTCAAAAAAGTTACTTTCTATATATATCAATTTCTCGACTGGACTAGACCAGACCAGACTAGACTAGATTAGAAACTGATTAAACAGTAAAAACAACAATTAGGTTAAAATTTAACAATTGTGTTAAAACTAAATCTAAAATTGATTTTAACCTGTTATTTTTACTGTTTAATCACATGTCTGAGTCTTGTTTGAATCAATGCCTAGTCTAGTCTAGTTGATGAACTGAATATATATAGAAAGCAACCTTTTATGAACCATATGTATATAAATAGGAATCCTAGCGTTGCAGTTCAGTGGTTGAATGTGTGAGACTTGCAGCGCCTGATGGCACGTTTGGGTCGAAACATGTAGTGCTATATATTGTCACGTGTTGGGTGTATAACGCGACAAATAATTTTACGCCGTCTTGGATATAGCGAATTTATTGAACACTCGCTCTTACAGTCACACAATTACTGCCATCGGCAGTATCACAAATACTTCTCCTGCTGTTACTGCCATGCACGCCATACAGCCCGGCTCGGCGACTGCTAGATTGAAACTGGCAGGTTAATCGGTACTCACTAGTAACTCACTCACCCGTAACTGGCTCAATACTCACTCACTACTGAATAGTGTTCGCTGCTCCTTATTTAGCCTCGGCACGGACAACACAGAAAACAGTTACGTGACAGGTACCGCTGTTGCCTGACGCCGGCTTTACAGGTGTTGCTAGCAACGCTGTCGGGAGTTGTTTACGGCTGGGTAGTAACCGCGGTATCCCTTGGTAACATCACCGCGGCAATGGTTGCCTGACACAGTTGCTCCTCTGTTTACCGAGCGCTGCGTGATAATGGAAGGGTTGGGGGTATGTGACGTCACTCGCTAGACCGCAGAGTTCACGTGACCCCTACTTCCCGTTGCGCCATCCACCTCACAATATGTTAATAAATAATCGTTGCGTTGACTGTACAATTTGTATATGTTGGCTGTATATACGGAACAGGAAATTCCTCACTTTTATGAGTTCTCATATACGACCTGACGGGGACAAATCCACTGGCATACAATTTATTCCATCTTTCAAATGAACTGTAGTTTATTATCAAAACAGCCAACTTCTTTGTTGCGGAAGCTCAAAAGGGTCGTCCAACCAGTATCGTCACTACACCGAGTGAGTTATACCGCCTTCTCTGTGTTCGACAATTATGCAAAAGGTGCCTAATGATCTATGCACTCAGACTCAAACACAATGAGTTGAAGAAAAAAAGCAGTAAAATTTTACAGCCTAAGGGCATCGACAAAGTTAGCTAGGTTTTTTATTGCTAGTGGGGTAGGACTAAGTCCCTTGTACTGCGGAAAGTTCTGGCCTATTGTACTAGCCCCAGATGATAGGTGAGGGTGACTGCGGAGCAATTGGTGGAATGATGATTGGCAGGGGAAACCGAAGTACTCGGAGAAAAACCTGCCCCAGCGCCAATTTGTCGACCACAAATCCCGCTTTACCAGACCCGGGATCGAACCCGGGCCGCCGCGGTGGGAAACCAGCGACTAACCGCTTGAGTCATGGCGCGGCCAAGTTAGCTAGGTTAGTTTCATTCGAAATCTGTAGGAAAGGTTCCATTTTGGCCGCTCGCTGTTTTAACTCGAATTCGGCTTGGCTTTGCTCAGTCTCCAAGGTCAAAGACCGAGTAATAATGATGAAATTTGACAATTAGGTAGCAGAATACTAAAACCACAAATCTGGGCAAATGATTAGACTTTGCTCCAACATCCCGAGGTTCAGAACCGAAAAATAAAAACACAGAATAGAACAGCTGTGGTTTCGCACAGAAATTTATGAATAGCGATTCGGCAATAAAAATTCACGGCATATAATCCACTTATTCCATGGATAGGAGTCATTTTTACAGTGGGAGTGTCATTCAGCTGGTGAAGAAATTCACTGCCTTTCATGGAAACCAAAGAATCATACATCGTATCATTACCGTGTTCCTAAACAACGTGAATCCAATTCACATCTCACACCCTACTTCTTTAAGACCGATTTCAATATTATTATTCTTCCATCTATGCCTGGGTCTCTTCCTTCAGGTTTTCTGACTATATATTCTCTGAGTGCACTAAAATCCCAACTTCTGTCATTGTATGTCCCGATAGGATTCCTGTCTGGCAGAACCCGGTAAGTCGTCTTCTGGTAGAAAATGCAGTAACCAAAGAAAATAAATTATCTCAAAAGGTAGACAACTGATCAATTAGTATTCTTCAGTGACATTCGTCAGTTTGACGATATTCTTTACAGGGCTGTACTTTACCCAATCTAACCTGTTCTGGGCAACCCTGGTAAGAGCGCAATATGAATGAATCTCACGTTTCGTGCCATGACGTCTCGGCACTAGCTGGAAGTGAGTGGTCAGCTTCACACCCCGGGGAAGTGTCCCCGGTACCCATTGAATAGGAGGTTGGCTGGGTCTCAGAGCCGGTCTGGACGACATGGAGAAGTGAAAATCCTTACACCCATTGGGACTCGAACTCCAACCCCTTGGTCGTCCAGCCCACAGCCAGTCGCTATACCGACTGTGCTATCGCGGCTATCAATCCGACGTTTTATCCCGGAATTTGCCTAGGACGGCTGAAGAAAACCACAAATGCCTTCAGTCAGTTTACGAGGTTTCAGGACTGAGTTTTTAAGACGGGATCTCCCGAACAAGAAGCAAAGAGTGCTATCCAGTCGACAGCGATACTCGGTACGAAGTTCGACGCGGAAAACTACTCCAAACGACATTTATAGGACACCGCTTTCGATCCCCTGTCCCCATGCATCACTACCTTCCTTCTCGTATGTGGTTAACTGAGAAAACACAATTATGGCCACTCCAAAGAGACTAAGCTGCTTAGTGAACTGTTTATCAGTGTCTATTTATCACCAAGTCTTATTTCTTCAGCATTTCAATCCCACGCTCCTTCCAGTATATGAAGCTTCCTGTTCCATGTTCTTTTTTTTTTGTGTATGAAAGCCTGCAGCTACCCACACGTTTAGCTAAACTTGCATGTGCAAAACTGCATTAAGGACGCTTTCACAAGCTTCGATATTATCAACATCGGTGCGACTATTTCGTTCAGTTGTTGAAATATGTTTTCTGAAGAGTAAGAACAGATTTCACTTACTATAACTTAACTTACTTCACCGTAATTCTTAACCTCTTTTGACAGGTGTCCCGTTTTTTGCCTACCTTCCTTATTCTGAAAAAAAAAAGTAAGCTTGTGTGAAGATCTTGTTACCGGTGTGTGTCTGTATATGCAGCCCTCCCCGAAGAAGTGTGAAAGCCTGAACCGATATTTATGAAAACTTGGTATGTACGTCATGCCACCTGAGGACATTTCAACGGTGTACTTCATAAATCCCTCTAATCAGTAATACCAAGACTGAGGCCTCTCGCACTGTTGAGTAAAACCCCTTAGTATTACCTGAACGCCTGTACCAATCTTCATGAATCTTGATTTGTATATCATGCTATCTGCGGTCATCTCAAAGCCGTACTTCATAAATCCGTCCCTCATTGATACCAACACTGCAGCAT